CTTCAGGCCTCCCCCCCCCCCCCCCCAACATCAGTGGGTCACCACCATGCTACACAGTGGAGATGGTATTCTTTTCGCTATAGACGTTGTTGACCCTTCTCCAAACATAGTGCTTATGGTTGTGACCATAAATCTCTATTTTGGTCTAGTTACTCCAAATTACAGTATGCCAGAAGCTGTGAGGCATGTCAAGGTGTTGTCGGGCATATTATAACCAGGCTTTTTTGTGGCGTCGGCACAGCAAGGACTTGTTCACACTATATTCAGTGCATTCCAGCGCGGTAAGCTGCTGGAGCGCACTGTATCGCATCCTGGCCAGCTCCCTGCGTTTAGGGGCCGGAGGGGCATGGTGGTACATTGAAGTCAATGGCACTGCAGGCACAGCCTCCGCCCACATTGCGATCGCCCACACCAAAACTATGGCATATCAATGCCTGCGTTCCTGTCCAGTGCGATCCGAAAAAATAGCGTGGCTGCAGTGCCGTTAACTTCAATGCACTGTCATGCCCCTGAACGCAGGGAGCCTGCCAGGATGCCATACAATGTGTTCCAGCTAACTGTGCTGCAACACACTGTATATAGTGTGAACCCTAAAGGCTTCTTTCTAACAACTCGACCATGCAGCTCATTTTCAATTATCATTGTATTGCACTCCTTGAAACAACCACACCATCTTTTGCCAGAACAGCCTGTATTTCTCCTTAAGTTAACTGTGGGTTTTTCTTTGTATCCCGAACAATTCTTCCAACAGTTGTGGCTGCAGTCTTTCTTGGTCTACCTGACCTTGGCTTGGTATCAAGAGATCCCCGAATTTTCCCCAAATTTTCCACTTCTTAATAAGTGATTGAACAGTACTGGCTGGCATTTTCAAGCTTTGGATATCTTTTTATATCCTTTTCCATCTTTATAAAGTTCCATTACCTTGGTATGCCGGTCTTCTCACAGTGGCCATTTTTACTAAGGGCAGATGAATCCACCTCCCTTTACTTCCTGAAACTCTAGCACATGTGACTAGGGCATGTGACCATACACAACATATCAGGGGAAATAGATGCCTTTCCCTGAGATCTGGTAAACGTACAGATGATTTTTCTCAGAAATCCACTGCTGATGTAACCTTTCCAGAATGCAATGCTTGGACACGATTACATCATTTTGTGCCAAGTGGACCAGGAAGTAGAAAAAAAAAGGAAATTGTTATTAAAATAAAAAAGTTTTTGTTTAATGAATGTAAGATGATTTCATATCAGCATGCAGAACTGTATGCTGATGTGGCTTTTAATGAAAGGGGCTAAAGGTCCACTTGAAGTAGAGAAGAACTTAAGCCAGGCGACTTTTCTGTAAAAATGTTTATACAAGGATTGAAATTCCTTAAATGTCAGGGGTTTTTTGAGGGACTGATTAAGGAAGTCCGTAAAACGGGATATCCCCTTTTTCTCCCTGTAACGAAAATCTCGTAGTCCTCTCCCTGTGGGAAGGAAGGGTTTCCCCTAAGGGGTAGATGTTTGGAGAAGAAGGGGTTCGTTTTCAGGAGTTTGTGTGTTTCCCTCCAAGCAATGATCGTATCCCGTAGGAGTATGTTGGAGCGAATATGGGGAGGTAATTTTGGGATGGGGCAGTGTAAGAGGGAAGGTAACTTCCATGGATGCACCATCTCCGATTCCAAAGGGAAGTTGGAGTATCGGGACGAGGAGCAGATCCAGTCCCCAGAGTGGCGGAGGAGGCAGGACAGGTTGTACAGCCTGAGGTTTGGAAAGGCCATGCCTCCCTCATCTCTAGATAGACTGAGTTTCTTGAGCGATATCCTCGCTCTCTTCCCTTGCCAAATGAAATGTAGGAAGGCCGTGTTAATGGCCTTTACGTCTTTGTGTTTCAAGAGGATAGGAAGTGTTTGTAAAGGGTACAGAAGCCTTGCAAAGGGGATCATTTTTATAAGGTGAATCCTGCCAAACAGGGATAAAGGTAGATCTTTGTAGCGGGCGAGTTCGTTCTGCAATTTTAATATGAGAGGAGGGTAATTTAAATTGTATAAAGAGGACGGGGTTTTTCCAATGTACAGGCCCAAGTATTTGATATGTAAAAGCGTCCCCCTTAGGTATGGTGGATTGCAGTTGCATCAGTATGGGGGCATGATCCGATATGGCTATGGGCATAAGTCGAGCTTCGTTAACTAGTGCATCCAGTGTGTCCGACGCCAGGAAATAATCCAGCCTTGCAAAGGTTTTGTGCACATCCGAAAAGTGTGTAAATTCCCTCTCTAGGGGGTTTCGAATTCTCCAGACATCTGTCAGGTTAAGAGCTGACGCCAGTCGAGACAGGCTCGTGGGAGGAGTAGGGATTGAGGCAGCGTGCGTGTGAGAAGTGCCCGTGGGGCTGAAAGGCCCAGCAGATCCGGTATATTGTGCGCGCAGATGGTCGGCAGCATGGAAGGATGGTATGTTTCCGGGAGGCCGATAATCCTTAGATTGTTTCGTCGAGAACGGTTTTCAAGGTCCTCCACACGGTCCACGAGGTGCTGGATGTGCCGTTGGGTCGATTTGGTGTGCGAGGAGGAAGCATTCGCGTTCTCTTCCAGAAGCACGTTGCGTTGTTTGGCGTCTGAAATTCTTTGGGCCTGATTCAAAAGCTCCTGTCGTAGGGTTTGGATGCCCTTGGTAACCGCTTTGTGCACCACGTCCTGAATGGTGGGCTTCAGTAATTTCGCCACTTCAGCCGCTATGAGGCTATGGTCAGATCGCGTTGGCAAGTCTTCATCCGAAGAGGCACTAATGTCCGGCTTGTCATTAAGGTCGGCCATCTTGGAAGGTACCGGCCGTTTTCCGCTATTAGGGGTGGCTTTGCCGCGAGGTGTATAGCGGCGTTTTGACAGGAATCTTTCCATATGGAAGGGGAGAGAGTGTCTTGGGTGGTTGCAAGGTCATTCGACTTGCTGTAGTAGGATTTTATATCTGTTGTAGCCCTGGCCGCGCGGGAGCTCTTCTCGTCTGCTACCACTACATCAGGCGCCGGAACCGGAAGTCACAAGTAATTGTTTTTAAAATGTTTTGTAAGTTGTTCTAACTACTCTGTACAAAACCCCTTAAAGTGGAACTAAGTGGGGTGGGTTTGTTTTTTCCTGTTCCCCCAGTGCAGCTTAATGCTCTCGTTCATCAATCCAAAGCCACCATTGCCGTGTTACTAGAAGCTTCACCCACTGTTGGTATCTCCATCCTTTATCGCTAGGTCAGCCAATCATGACACAACTCCCAGGCAGGAACAATGGGGTTGCCCCATACTGGCACTAGGACCCACTCTTTGTCATCTGGCAACATACACTTTGCTTCACATATGCAGCAGGCACTGTTATAGAAAAAAAGTTTGCCTGCAAAAAGAGAATATTTTTTTAACAGAGGTGACATACACAAAAAGACTGGACTAGCAAAAATGTTTTAATTGTTGCCCTTTAATTATCAGGATGTTGGCACTATGGCGAGCTTTCTATAGAAATGGAGCCCTTGGTTTCTATGGTCTCAGCATAGCACACCTCCACCATGATGCTTAGTAATGGGTATAAACATTGCTCTCTGCTGCTGTGTCTCGGGAGCCTTTCTATGACCCTTGCCTGTGATTTATTGTGCATGGTTTCATGGCTCAGTACATACATCTTTTCTGTCTTGTCTTTTTGGTCCTACCCGGACCTGATTTGCTGTTCAACATTCTTTCTTTTTGTTTTGTATAAATGAAAATGCTCAATAAAAACTATTGAAACTAATTATCAGGATGTTATTTGCAAGGGAGGGTTGTAACCCGTCCAGGTTTTTTTTTTGTCATCTGTGTCCAATTGGTATAGCTACAACTGGACATGAGAGGAAATCCCTCCTAAGAAAGGGACATCCCTGGTGGTCAGCAGTGTCACCAGAACTAGTGTCCCAATTGTTAGTTTTCCCATCTATTCCTGTTTTGTTGACAACCCAAAACGTATGACTTTCTTTCACTTTCCGTAACAATGGTCAACAGGACAAATAGAGAGGGTCAATCTCCTTAACGGAGACAAAGGCAGAAATAAAAATCTGAAAGGTATTCTGATCCCTCTCCCCTCCATCCAAAACTAGAAAACAAGTTTTGGCTTCGGTCGTGCTTTTCATGTTACAGGTCTTTTTTTGTGTGGTAAAATGTTTCTTCAATAGCACAACAGATAGGCCACATGTAGGAAACCCATATCCACACGAGTAAGCCAGTGCCTACCACATACACTTTTACAACTGCAATGCTCCATTATTTATTACCCCATTGTGACCATATCAAATGTATAAGAAGAACGCCGGGAAGAGTAAAGTTCTTTAAGAAAAAACTGAGAAGCGTGTTAAAATTTGCTCACTTGGCAGCCCTATTTTTGTTTTTTACACCTCTAGTAATGTCTGTTTTCTAGTGTTGTTTTTTTTGCTTTCTCACAAGTTGCTCTCTGATACTGACTAATGTGTTTTGTGTAGATCCTGCTCACTGAATATCTTGACATGAAGAACACCAAGACGTCATCAGAACCATCAGCCCAACTCAGCTACGCCAGCACTGGCAGAGAGTTTGCAGCTTTTTTTGCTAAAAAGAAACCTCAGAGGCCTAAGAATACTCTTTTCAAGTACGTTGTGATTGCACTTTTTTCTCATTAACATTATCAAATGCATGTAATATAATACAGTTTTGCCATTTGTAAAATTATTGTAATATTGACATTGCATAGTAGAACTTCTGAATTTTTTTTTTTTTAATAACTTTTTTAAGAACTTCTGAATTTGAAGTGCATGCATCCTCTAACAATTCATTTTTGGTCTGTTAAATATACAATTGAACGTGTTAGATGTGTTTGGTAAGTGTAAAAAAAAAAAACAACCCTAAAATAACTGTTTGACCTGTGTTATCTTAAGGACCCTAATTAGCCCTCACAGTTTTCATTTTGGGACTACAGACTAATTAGTGTATCTATTGTGGAGATGAGAAGAAGACGTGGGGGGGCATTCATTAGTTTAACAAAAGAAAACTAGGCAAGGCTGACACTGCTCTGTCCACAAATATTCTGTGTGTTGTCAGCCCCCAGGAGGACCTGAGTACGTTTCTGGCAGAACAACACATATTTTCCATATCTCGAGAGTCTTTAAAGGCATAAAACCTTGTGAAATGTGCATATATTACAGAGATGTACTGCACATATTTTTTTTTCTTTTGTCCTGACATACACTTTAAAATGTGATGTGTGGCTAACTTAACGTGAACCTGTCCAGTCCTCGCATATGTAAACACAATGACACCTTTCTGATCTGCTGTTTAAATCACACTCCTCCTCTACTTACAATGTGTAGCCTAAGCTGACTAAACTGCAGTGTTATTAATTCGTCAAATGTTGCCCAAAGCCCTCCTTTTTCTCTCTAACAATTCCCTTGGCTGCTGATATATGAAGTGGATAGTGACATGTGACTGTTACAGGAAAGGCAGAAACATTATAGATAGGTGGGTTGTGATTGACAGCCTGGCTTTATATTCTTAAAGTGTGACATTAAACTCAGGCGTAAAATCTTAAAAATATATTCAAGTACCCTAACTATTAACAAAAATGTATCTTATTTGTTTGTCACTCCTCAAATCACCTTTGAATTGGTGCTGACACTGTCCTTCCTTCTGGAGGGTGGCTACTTTTGTTCCCCATGGTCCCTGTGTGTGCAGTAAAGTAGCCACCACTCCAAGCTTGCTCCTGTGATGGACTGTAATCTCAATACAAATTAGTAAACAAAATGTTAGATTGTAGTCCATCATAGGAGCGAGGTTGGAGAGGTGGCAACTTTACAACACACACAGGGACCATGGGGAACAAAAGTAGCCACCCTCCAGAAGGAAGCACAGCGTCAGCATGAATTCAGAGATGATTTGAGGATCTTCAGCCAAGTGATAAACAAATAAGCTACTTTTTTGTTACTAGTTAAGGTATTTGGATGTATTTTTAAGATTTAACTTCTGAATTTAGTGTCACTTTAATGCTGAGCGAGAGGTTAGATGGCAGCACCCAATGTGGGATTACCAGGGTCTCAGAAGACAGACGGTAGCAGAGTTTTCGTTCCCCAGTTATGCATCATTGAATCGTTTTCTAAACGGAGGATTCATATTTGGTGGCGGTTTCTGTAAACATTGGCAAAGGAAAGGGTTGTTTTGAAGAGGCCCTGTCGCCTTGCCCATTACTGGCCAAATGATCGTGTCTGTCTAAAGCCCACACCCTGATCACTTTACACTTATCCTCTAGACCACATGTTCTTCCATATCCAGAAAGACTGTATTTTGCAGTGGGTGCCACAAAGGGAGTGATGGGGGAGTGCTGTAGAGGTGAGTATAAGTGAGTAGTATAGTGAGAGATGAGTATAAGTGGACTTTACACAAACACAGTCACTTTTCCCCGAATGGGCAAGGTGACAGTTTCTCTTTAGGTTGCTAGACAAGTGCACTATACACAATTTAATGTCTTCAGAACGTGTTTTCTCATGTAGAATTTTTAAATGCCAACCATTATAAGGTGTTCAATGAATAACGTGAATGTTATTCATTGGTAATTATTTGTATCATTCTGTTTGACATTAGAATGGATAGTCGTATGCAAAACTTTGGGTACTCTTGGACAAATTGGATATTTTGTTAATTTTCTGAGTGCTAAGTTAATACAAGCTCTGCAAGAAACAAATTTAACTTTAAATATTTCTGCAAATTTATATTCACAGCTGCTATTTGCTGAATCTAATCACTTATTGAAAATCTAAGTAGATGTAAAGCACATATTGCATACAAAACAGGCTTAGAATTGTTCTACAAGCATTGCACAGGTAGAGTCGAAAAAAAGCAAGAATAGAAAAACTGTTGGCTAGTCACATGAAACATTTAAAGTATATGCCCAGCAATAAAGTATGGCTTAAATTGTGGTTCCACTTTTGGGGTCAAATTTGAGAAAACTCCACTATGGTTTTCATTCCCGTTCACACAACATGCCTACTAAAAATAATTTTAAAAAATATATTTCTTACCTTTTAGCTATGTTTTTGGTGAAGGCATTTGTGCAGATTCCAGGCTATGAGCAGTTTGAAAGTGAAGCTAGATGGTCAAACTGAGGGACAGATTGAGGTTATTCTCATTAACATACAATGCTTCTGAGTCTTTATCCCCTTGATAGGACATATAGTGTTGAGATCTAGTTTACAACAGATAATTAGATCTGTCAGCACAGTACAGACAGATTTAATTTCGAGTAAACATAACTCCCCACAGTCCCTTCCTTATCATTACTTAGGGTAGCTAGGTAGAATTTTTAAGCAACAAACATAAAATAGGTAATCCACAGCAAACACCACTCACATCCCAGGTACAGGCAAACATGGGCGCCCAGAAGGTCTTCACCGAAAATAAAAACATTTATTTATGGAGTAAATACATACTGTTTGTACCTGTTTGGCTGTAAATCTACTTTAAAGATCCTGATTTCTTTTAAGGCAAGCATTAACAAGTATTAATGGGAAGAGGGCTAAATGTTCCCACTTACCATGTTTTATGTTTATCTCATACTGTTAAATTCACAAAGTAAATGATGATTTTGCTTTTTTAATAACAAAAAAATTAACAAAATGTAATTTTAGCATTGGTGTCATATAACTGGTGTAGTCTTTATCTTTTATGTTGATTTTTGGAGGAAAAAAAAGCATTTCTCTTAGGGCCCATTTACATTAGAAGCGTTGGGGATGCGTTCGCCATCTTGCTGGTGTGAACGGATCCTTACAGCTTTAAGTTTCTAGACTTCGTTTTAATTTTTAGGAATGAGTTTGAATCACAGTACTGGAACCCACCTGTATATTTGGGATCAGATACAGGAAACCCCCCCCCCCCAAAAAAAAAAAAACCACAATTTTTCATTTCATGACAAAAT